CCAAATCCTCTCAAGTGCTAGCTTTGCATTAGGTCCATTGTTGTCCTTGGCATTGCTCATATAACTCCTAAAATGTTGAAATGAAGCTCCATATCTATGATGTGAAGGAACAATAGAGAAGAAGGGGGCTAGCATCTTCATTATAGTTTTTGCAAAGTGGAAACCTGCTGCACATGTAAATTCGCATTTTATGTAGGTTGCGTACGTGAGACATGCTTTCCTCACCCCAACCAGGTAAAGCGTTCCCCCTTCAAAGTGTTCCATCTTCAAAGGTGCATTATTTTTCGAAATACATTTCGGGGACTAATAGTCCAAGGGAAGAGGTTTTGGTTTATGGTAGTAGCATGACTTTACAAAGAGTTTCCCTTTGGCATCCCATTTCCAAGTTAGAGCACATGTTTTTGGCATCAAGAGTGGTGAGTTATGAAGTTGCATAGAAGTGAGGATTGGTTGGCCATTTGCAATCATTTATATTCCATCTAAATATGATATTCCAACCTTGTTCTGATATGTAATCTGAAACTGAGGCTTCATAGTCTTGCACCACATTGAAAAGAGTTGGATATTGATCCTTTAGAGGTGATTGGCCCTGCGTTGGTCTATCCAAAATCTCGCTGTCATACCATTTTCGATTGCCATAGAAGTTTTGAGTTGAAACGAACTCCATTATGCGCTCATATGTTTCCAGATACCATAAAGGCTAGGGAATCGTGATTGCTTGGTGATCAAGGGGTTAATCATTTAATCAAATAATTAATGCATTGGAAGAGAACGAGTAGAAATTTGAACAAGAAAGGCATTTGAGAAGGAAATATAAGCCAACACCTTGACCAACGGGTAAATTTGTGAGAGAAGTTTTAAAGAAAGAATGTGATGTGACTTGAAGCTAAGCGCACTTCACGTTGGCGCTTCGCCTTGCATAGCTTTTGTGCAGGACCAACTCACTGAGCCGTGTCTCTCGTTGCCTATAAACTCTCTCTTGAGTGGCACAAAACTAAGCAACAAATTTGCTAGTAAATTGACATACTTAACTGTTAAGATATTAGATCAATATGTTATTTTCTAGGAATAGAATCTAGAAACTTAATATAAAAGCTAGTCATTTAACCTATTTAGAAGCTTAAAACAATATCTTTGCTTCCTAGTAAAAAAGATTAAGATGTTTTTAACTTAAAATTTTTTCACTTAATATATTTTACGTGTAGTTTTATTTCTATTTCTTTGTGTTCAATTATTGGTTGCATTTATAGTTCTTTTACATACATTTACATGTGTATATCTTTTTTATGTTTTATTCCTTTGCAAAATTTTTCACTATAGCACATCTTGAGTTGTGGTTCGCGTCTAAAACCTAGCAATCCTTGGGATTTTGTTTGCTTTTGGCCTTTACCAGTGCTACTGCTTTTGTTAAATTGGTTCACTCATTTACTAGGTCATACTTGTGGTGCCAGCGTTGACTCTCAACAATAAATTTCAATACTTTGAAGACAGTCCATCATAGCTATTCAATGTTCTTCAGTATTTCATGCTGAAAACTCATGCATTTGTTAGTTGCTGGATAATTTACATTGGACTCCAAAAAACGAAAGCTCATTTGTCTTCTTGCACCAGCATAAAAGCTTCATTACTAAAGTTGTCGAAATAATTTCAATGCTTTGTTAGTTTTTAAGATCAATAGCAAGTTTTAATATAACACATAACGTAAAGTTCAAGATATTATTGTTACGCTATGTATGATGTGTTTAATAAAATACCTAATTACCCTCCGTCCACTCTAAATAACTATTAATATCACTTATAAAAAAAATCACTTATTTAATTCCAGGAAGTGTAAACTTTTCTTGCTTGTCTAGATCTTTTGCAAAACTTATGTACAAGTTTCATTCCCCAAACCAACACCACTAACTATTCAATATGTTGTCCGAAATATAGCTTCATTAATGTGTCTATATCTTGATTGCTTTTTGCCGACTTGCAAAAGAAAAATTAAAATTAAAATACTCACTATAATCACAAAGGGAGTTATATGTTCTTTGAGTACAATTTTACCGCTAGAACTTATGTAAATGCAATCTTAAGCAAGATTTGAATTTACATGGCAGAATTTGTAATTACATAGGCTGCGCACTCCCAACACGCTCTTTACCAAGAAAGGTATTTTTCTAATTTGGATTCACATGGAACAATTTACAATAGCACGGGTTGTGCACTCCCAACATGCTTTTTACCAAGAAAATATTGTTTTACTTAGAATGATTACTGAGTTGCTAACGAGTAAATGTGTAGTTCAAAAGGCACAAAATCTGCAAAATTAATGTTTAGTATCAGTACAATTTTTTGAAAAAAAGAATAGACTTGATATTTGACCAAAATACCACAAAGATATTTGGGGGGGGGGGGGGAGAAATTTTTAAAAAATAAAGAGAAAATATACCTCAGTGGCTTGTTGGCGAAACTGCCGGAGTCGATGTCAATGTATTTTTAACAGTAGTAGACTAGGTTTGAATGGTAATTTTAGTTGTTTTTATCTGTATCCACCCCACATTCGAAATCAATAATTTTAATGTTTTGTTAAGTGTATATATAAAATTTATCATATATTTAATTAATTCGATTCCGTATATTCTCGTTTCTTTTATAAAATTAAAAACCTCCTGTAATTATTCGGTATGGTTATAGATTTACTTTGAAACCTACCGTTTTTATTTTTAAAAACCTAAAAAGATTTGATGAGGTTCGGTTTGATTGAGTTTTAGAGAACCATGCGTCCTTATTGCATCTGATGGATTATTTGGGAGGAAAGAAACTTAAGATGTTTTGAAGATAGATTATGTTCCCCTAAAAAGAGCCAAATAGAATTCAATGCTTTTGCTAATTGTCCATCCTTTCCCCGTGTGACTTCTATGTATATATGGGATTTTGGAAGGGGGTTGGAGGACAAAAATATCAATTTGCCTTATGGATGTGGTCTGTGGAGAAATATATAAAAAGATAGGAAGAATTTAGCGCAAATGTGTCGTCCAGATTGGGGATGGGAAAATGGTTAGTTTTGGAGGTACAAGTGGTGTTGGGAATACACTTTGAGTATTACTTTTCCAACATATCTAGAATCTCATGCCAGAAGGAAGCGACAGTCCAGCGAGTCCAAAGATTGCAAGATGGTGAAGTGTTTTGCGATTTGAAATTCAAGTGGAACTTTCAGGATTGAGAGGTGGTAGCAGAGTTGTCAAAGGCGAAAAGCGTCAAAAAGTGCTCCAGTTCACAATTAAAGTATGAGCTTTAGTTAAAAAGGCGCAATAAAGAAAAAATAAAAATATTTATCTAATGCAAGAAAAAAGTAACAGTTTTCAATCAAAATTTCTTAACAATTAATACATCTTTTTGCCAATTACGGCTGTATTCAAGATAGAACTTATGCGCAATGAAGCCCATCCTTAGTGCGTTGCCTACGCTGACGTAGCCTAAGTGAAGAAGCACCTACTTTGAGCTTCTCTGAGCTTCAGGGCTTAACCGCACATTAAGTGGGCCTTTGACACCACTTTTAAAGCTTAATCGGCTTACTCCACAAACCAAAGCATTACACACGATGGTCACGATGTAGGGAGGTGGGGCTGAGTGATAATAGAGTGTTCTCTGTCAAGTTCGATTATGAAAAGCTTCTGAATAGGGAGGAGGCGAACTTTTCGTATAAGTGGATTTGGATTCTGAAAGTACCGAGAAGATGTGTGTTTTCACTTGGTTAGCAGTTAGAGGGATGATCTTGACCCCTTAGAATCTAAGGAAGAGGAAGGTAACTGATGTCAGCTGGTGCTTCATGTGCAAGGGTTTGGGTGAACATGTTGACCATCTCCTTATTCATTATGCGGTAGCATCGAGATTATGTTGCGAAATTCTTGCATGGTTTGGTATATTTTGTGTGATGCCGGACGATAAAGGAGCTATTGGCCATGGTAGTAGGAGAAGACGCAAGGCATGGAAGTTTTTGAGTGAACGAAATAGGAGAGCTTTTGAGGGTGTTGAGATGAACTTTATTCAGTTAATGTTTAGTGCTTTATCCCTGATTTCTTTTTGATGCACCCATAGGATTCCTTTATGTATAGAAGATTGCGTGTCGTTCGTAGAAAATAATCTCTTTCCGTAAGTTTACTACTATTTGGTATACTTGTTGTATATGAGCACAGTTTTGCTCAAAATCAATAAAATTTATTACTTTATCGAAACAACAAAATCTGGCCGTGCCTAAGGACATACCAGCTGAAGTAGTTTTCTTTTGATCAATCAAAACCACTTTGAAAACTATACAAGTTTCTGCCACCTCGCGAATCTCAATCTAGTGCATATGTAACCGAATTGCTGTCGCTGCCCTTCAGGCACGCCTCCTATGCTTTATCACTCACATATGCAAGAAATGCCCTCTTCAGGCAATACAGTGTAATATGCGAAGCAGCTGAGCCATAGCTCTTCGATCGCTATGTTCTTGCTATAGTGAAGTTGTTCATCCTATGAGAGAGAGTAGATGCGAATGTTTGATTAAGATGGGTTGTATTCTTCTGCATCACTTTTGGTGTAAAGATGAATTTACAGATGACTCTTGACTCAATTTTAGAAGTTTTAGAATCTTTGTAAGAAGAATCAAGGATACAATGTTTTTGCTTTTTGAATTGTAAATATGGCCAAAGGCAGTTTCTTAAACAAAGAAAAGACTGGGGTTTGGGGGGGGGGGGGGGGCGACACTTTGTCAGAGACTTGTTGATAACACAGTGACAACTTAATGCTACTTTGTTGTCACAGCAGATAACTGCATCTATAAAATCCTTCCTCTAATATAATGAAGTTTAGGTAAAACGTTTTTGATAATTCATATGGACAATCGGTGCTGCTTAAGTGGTAGTGGACAAGTAATCTGTAGAATTGTAGTACATGATGCTCAGATGATTGGCCATCCTTCTGTACAATTCCTGATCATTGTGAGTTTTAAGTTGTGTTCTTGCGTGTTGCAGATTTTTGACGGATCAGTTGATGAAGGTTCAAGTTGTTAATGAGGTGAACAAGGTAATTACTATACCTTTCTGATCTCACCCTTTATCTCTGCTTTCTGTGACTATCTGTATTTTATGCTTTCCTGCTATCAGGTATGATTATTCTTCATATATTTGAATCTTTTCTTGTGACCTGAAGGATTTTGTGATTGAGGCACTAAGATCAATTGCAGAGTTGATAACATATGGTGATCAACATGATGTGGCCTATTTTGAGTATGTCTTCACTAAGGACCTTCCCTTTTGGTGAATACCATTTTTTAGCCAGAAGTAGACCAATCAAGTTAAGTGACGTAATATTTGTCCTTACAAGTATGTCGGTACTTCTGCAGGTTTTTCATGGAGAAGCAGGTGATGGGGGAGCTTGTACGTATATTAAGAATTAGTCGAACTGTTATTGTTTCGCTTCAGTTGTTGCAGACAATGAGTATTGTGATCCAGAACTTAAAAAATGAGCACTCCATTTGTAAGTAAACTGTTGAAATGTGTTGTATTGAATACAATATTCCTGCCTTTACTGATTTTGTTATTCTGACACCTTTTCCCCAAAATTTGCAGATTACATGTTTAGTAATGAGCACATCAACCACCTTATAACATATTCTTTTGACTTTCGTAATGAAGAGCTTTTGTCTTATTACATATCCTTTCTAAGGTGTGTTCCTAAAACTCAGCAGCTATACAGGCATTTCATTACTTTGAAATATATTTTACTTAATGTTTCTTGTTGACTCTATTTTTTGGATGCATGTGTATACAAAGAGCAATAAGTGGAAAGCTGAACAAAAACACCATTTCCCTTCTTGTCAAGACTCTTAATGTAAGTTGGATTAGTAAAGTTATTAACGGTTTTCTAATAAGTTTTAAGGTTACTATTCTGTTTGTTGAATTCTAATAGTATACCAATATAAGATCTGTTGACCTAAAGATTTTAAGAAATTTCATTTTTGGAGGAATTTTCTTGGAAACAGTCATTAGGTTACCCCCCCCCCCCCCCCCCCCTTAGGGAAAGGTCTGTGCCTACAAAACCTGTTTGTGAAATGTGGAAAGTTGAACAAAAACACCAGTGGTACCTCGAGTGTGAAAAATCTATGAATCTTTGGTTCTTTTTTATCATTTGGACATCCCTTGCAATTTACAAGCGACAAATTCATTAACATGATAAGGTACATATGCTTCTTGATATACTAGTTAATTACAAGATCAGGGAAAATGAATGTCCATATTATTTTACAAGCATGGGCTGGTAACCTTAAATTTAAAATGTTTTAAAGAGTTTGAATATGCTAAATGCTCCTTCCATCCATGGAGATGGGTACTAATAAGTCAGTATTACTTTCATTAAGAAAAATATAAATACATGCTAAGGAATCAGTTTGAGTTAAACGTTATTTTTCCGGTCCTAGATAGATATATCTTCAGATATGCATATAAAATTGGTTAGGAAAAGTTACTTGAATTGTTGAATCTGTGTAGCGCGTAAAAATCAGTTTAGTTGTAATGTGAAATGTCTTGCTACCTGTTAAGGTGGAAAACCTATCAATTTTAGTTGTGTTTAATATGGTTAAAATGTTCTCTATTGAAAAGCTTTCTGTGGAAAATCTTTTATGTAGGAAAATCATTTTTCTAGATCATTTTTGCAGTGTTTAGTTAAGTATAAAGTAGTTGACATTTCCTAATCATAAAAGGTGGAGGATCGAGTAGGATGGATGATCATTCTGATATATTCTTGAATGAGTAAATATAGTTTTTCTTGAAGTACCTAATGAGAACTTAACCCCTGATAGTTTTCCACTTTTCCTTTCTCTCCTCTGCTTGACTGAAACTTCAAACCCATTTTTATATCCTAAATCCAGGAAACCAATTTCTTTTTTTCTTTCAGCTGTTATTGACAATCCATCACCACCCGTTGCAAACTTAGAATCACCTTCAAAATTCGGGTTTGCTTCAACAGGAACCACACCTGAATGTGGATGAGGAGAATATCGGCATAGATCTTTTTATGGGTTGAAGAAGCGACTTATTCAGAGATGATTATGGTAGATTAAGCCTCTTCCCATGGTACATGCCCATGCCTGGGCGACAGTTAGGGGTTGGTATAGCAACTACAAAAGTTTTTACCTCTGGTTGACTGTTCACAGCCCTATTTGTTGACCCCAAGAGAATTCTGTGCTGCAATATGCTGGTTTGCTTTCTCATGTTGATCCTTAGAAGAACAGAGTTATTAAAGACCGTGTTAGAGGTCATTTCTTATGTAAGCTAGACCTTGAAAAAGCTTATGATCATGTGAACTGGGATTTCCTGGATTTCATTATGTTAAAGATGGATTTGGGGATAAATGGGGGAGATTGATCAATTTTTGCGTTTCTGCTGCGAGATTCCTGTTTTGGTGAATGGGATGTAGTTTTTTTTGGGAGTTCGAGGGGTTTGAGACAAGGGGATCCACCATCCCCTACGCTTTCATTTTGGTGATGGAAGCATCGTGCAAAATGATGGATAAAACGGTCATTGGAGGTTTATCTAAGGGTTTTGATGCTTCGTTCAATGGCCATCGTAATGTGACAGTTACATATATATATTGTTTGTAGATGATACTGTGGTTTTTGTATTGCAGAGGTGTCCCGGCAGTTTACTTGAGACAAATTTTGATTTGATTCCAGGTTGTGTTAGGGCTTAAGATCAACCTCAGAAAATGTGAGATCACGCTGGTGGGAGAAGTGGATAATATTGAAGTGTTCACGCATGTGTTGAATTGTAAGGTGGGTATTTTACCTACTAACTATCTTGGGCTACCATTGGGTGCTTTGAGCAAATATCTTTCAGTGTGGTATTCGGTGATTAAGAGAGTAGAGAAGCGGTTAGTGGGTTGGTAGAAAAGGTACTTGTCGAAAGTAGGGAAGGAAATATTGATCAAAAGCACTCTCTCTAGCATACCCACATTTCATGTCACTCTCTCAGGCTCCTGGTAAAGTGACTGAAAGGCGGGTAAGACTTCAGCGAAACTTTTTATGGGACAAAGCGGAAGGAGCAAGGAAGTATCACTTATGGGTCGTTTGGTAGGATGTATTAGGAAAAATAATATATGTATTAGCTTTGATATTATTAATTTGGTAGTGTTTTTCAACTTATGTATGACTAATACATGTATTAGTTATACATCCTAAACAGTACTGTTCTTATACATAGCAAACCGTGGCATTAACAATACCATGATTCTTAATACATGGATAATCATGTATAAAGACATAAATGTCCTTTCAAAACCTTTTCCAAATTCTTTTCAAAGGATGTGGAGGGTATTTTTGTAAACAAATAATTTTTCCAAAAAATTATGCAGTGCATGTTATTTTTGAAACACTAAACCAGACAGTCGATACGAAATAATCTCCGCATAACTAATTCAAGCATAACTAATCTCAGCATTACTAATACACCCTATTCAGTACTATTCTTATACACCCTACAAAGCGACGCCTTGTGAATAGGAGAGCTGTCACATCTCCAAAGGAATGGGAGGACTCAGAGTGAAAGATCTCAAGGTGTTTTATAAAGATTTTTTAGGGAAGTGGATATGGCGATGCAGGGTGGAGGAAAATGCATTTCGGAGGAGGGTTGTCTGTCCAAATGGTCGACCTTGCCATCAAGTTGGGTCGCTCGATCCTTGATTGTTTCCTTAACAACAGCTGCCGCTGAGATCACTCCACTGCTATCGTCATGTACATGGTACAACAAGAAGAGAATTAGCAGAAATCGAAAGGTTTTTACCTAAAACTCCGCTCTTATACCTCCTAAAGAGAAATAGACGCGCGCGGGTAGAGCGTCTGCCTGAGTCGTGCGGCCCTAGTGACGCCTAGTGTAGTGTAACACTTGGGTTTCGCGTTCTCCTTGCCTTGTCTAGTTTTGCTTATGATCTCTCTCTGAGTCTAGTTCGTTACCTTCTACTACCGATCTTCTCCCTCTGCTGCTAATGGAGCTACTGTATATCGACCTAAGAGATACTAGACCAGGTGTGAGAAGAAGGGATGCTGCCATTGATGGACCGGTGCTACCTTTGGATCTAAGAATCACGGAAGACGTAATTGAAATATGCACCTGGAATTAAATCACATTGGTATAAAGAGCCGGAAAGGAAAAAAAGGAGGAAAGAAGCAAGGGACGACGAAGCGAGGTTTGGAGCCCTTTTACAAAGTGGAAGATGCCTCTCACAATGGGTAGGATTGCTGGAATATATTGGAGTTGGGGCAGGTTGAAGGGGGTGGGGGGAAAGTCAAGTTAAACATGGTGCCACCATAGCCCTAAGAAAACGAGATTGGGTTTGTGCGTGTAGACTATCCTAGGAAGTGTCTATTCTACCAAACCACGGGACGCAGTCGTAGATCCAGCCCTGGAAGTCCTCTCCTCTAGTAGTGGAAAAATATGGTGTTACGGAAGGGGAATGGAGGATCGGAAATGTCACAGTACCATTTGGGTGTGGATTATGAAGGAGTATTACGAAGGGTGAGAAGCTTTTAGTGGACATTATCTCTTGGAGAACAAGTTGAAGGTAGCATTCCCCAACTTTTATAGTGTATTGTGCCAAAGAGGGATGACAGTGCAACAAATTTGTAGGTCCCATGGGGGGTAGTTCATTGGGATTTGAGATTTAGGAGGAACCTACAGGATTGAGAGATGGAAGAATTTCACAACTTGGTTGAGTTATTGTATGGGTTGTATAAGCCAAGAAATTCATCGGATGTATAGAGGTGGTGTGAGAGTAGAGACGGAATATTCTCTATTAAATCTTATATAAGAGGTTATTAGGGAGGGGGGAACATATTTTTCCTCATTGCTCTATTTGGATTCCTAGAGCACCGAGAAAGCTGTGCTTCTTTGTGTGACTGCGGCATGGGGAGTGATTCTGAAGCAAAAAATCTAAGGAAGAGGAGGATCACCTATGTTAGTTGGTGTTTCATGCCCAAAAGCTCGGGCAAAAACGTAGATCATCTCTTATTACATCGTTAGGTGGCTAATCGGTTGTGGAAGGTCGTTCTTAATTTGTGTGGGACGCAATGAGTGATGCCAGGCGCAGTGAAGGAGGCGCTGCATAGCTGGGCTCACAAGAGGGGAAATAAAGTCTAAGGGCATGGTGTATTGCCCCATTAGCAATCATGTGGTTCATTTGGAACGAGAGAAATAGGAGGGCATTTGAAGGGGTGGAACAAGATTTTGTAAAATTACAAAATAGTCATCTGTTTCTTGTTTCTATTTGGAGTACTCATGAGATCCCTGTTTGTAGAGAGGATTGGGTCTCTTTTGTTGAATAAAATCATTTACCTAACAAAAAAAACTAGAGATCCTTATTGTTACCATCTCCCGAAAAAAAAAAGAACTAGAGATCCTTAGTTAAAAACTGTAAGCTTTAGGCGTGGGAACATTGTCAACTATGATAGATGGGGAGCTAAAATGAGGGAAGGAGGGGAGGTCTCTCTTGCATCTTTGATTTTCCACTGCTTGCTAGCTGGAGTTTGAACAATAGAATAGGTGCACTGTTCTCTTTTTCCGGGGCAAAAAATCTGGACTTGCATTTTTCCCGGTGCTTGTTAACTCAGTTCAATTGCTTAATATATATTCTACCAATCCGATTATGAACTTGGAATTCAACCATTTTCATGTATCTTCTTTTTATAAAAATATCCATCCCACTTTGCTGTTATATCTTCTGTATTTGTCATCCTTCTTATTTTGGTCTACATCTTTGAATAGGAAGAAGTAGTCTCATTCCCACTCTATGTTGAGGCGATACGCTTTGCCTTTCATGAAGAAAGCATGATTCGAACTGCGGTACGTGCGCTAACCCTGAATGTATATCATGGTGAGCTCCTTTTTATACTTCTTCCATGTTTATCTATATTTTCCCTCATTCCAAGTGTTTTCGGTAGTATATTCAATAATCTTCAACGTGTTGACAGTTGGCGATGAGGCGGTTAACAAGTTTGTTGCCAGTGCTCCTCATGCCGATTATTTCTCAAATTTGGTAAAATTTTTCGGGGAGCAATGCATCAGCTTGGACAAGTTGGTTGTTAATGCTTCAAAGTATGTAGTTTTTATTTTTAATTTTTGTCCCATGAAACTGGTTATGCATCACCTATTTGATGTACAGCTCATGTGATTTATTATGCAGGTGTCTGGGTCCAGATACTAGTGGTTCTATCATTTCCTCTGTTGATGAGATTGAGGACAACCTCTATTACTTTAGTGATGTTATTTCAGCAGGGATTCCAGACATTGGGAGGCTTATAACAGACCTCATGTTGAAGGTGCTGATATTTCCATCAGTACTTCCTTCATTACGGATGGAAGTAGTTAAAGACAGTGTAATGATCTAAACCTTTCTCTCTCTTGACATGTTTAGTGAAAAAGAAGCCCCAACTAGGGGTGTTCGTAAAAACCCGAAAAACCGAACCAAACCGACCAAAAAACCCGATACTTTTTGGTTTGGTTTGGTTTGGTTTTGGTTTTGAATTTTAAAAACCGATCAAATTTGGTTTGGTTTTGGTTCTAATAAAAAAAAACCGAAAAAAACCCGAACCAAACTGACTATAGGAGTAGCTATTTCAAATTTATTATTACACCTATATATATGTATATTTTTATATAAAGTTTCAAAAATTAATGGCAAATGTTAATAGTTTGCACTTTTAGTATAGTTCTTTACCTTTACATTCTAGTTTGATTGGTAGTTTTCTTTTGTTAAGTGTAAGAATCCATTTCGTGTTAAAAATAATATATTTTTAATTGAGTCCTTAAATTATTCATTACTATTCGATTCAATTATCATCAATATATTTTGGTAAATAATAGATTTCTCAAAGGGCAATTGATTTGATAGTGTTACGTTGAAAATGTGGTCGCCGGAATATGTGTTTGATAGTGTATGTCTTATATTTAAGAAAAAACCGATAAATAACCGAAAAAACCGAAAAACCGACATAAACCGAATCGAGAAAAAACCAACTTAATTGGTTTGGTTTGGTTCTAATATCTGAAAAACCTACTTACTTGGTTTGGTTTCTTTTAAGGGAAAAACCGATCCAAACCGAACCATGAACCCCCCTAGCCCCAATATTTGAAAGTTTACTTAAGGTCCTTGCCTTAACCAGAGTTTACCTCACTTAGGCTTCTACATTAACACTTTTGCCTAGTGTAAGGACCCTCACCTCCAATCGTAAGATAGTGATTCGAGAAAACTGGTAAAGGGCCACTAGGGAAAGGCCCATTACTGAGCTCTTGGGTAGGGTGATATGGAGGGTTGGAGTTTACAGAATTAAAAAAAAGAAGAGTTTTTAGATGAGATGGTCACACACTACAATATAATATCAGAGTAGGTAGAGGTCCTGGTTTCGAGTCTCACCGTCATCCGTTATCAAAGAGAATTTCCACGTGCTTGGCCCATAAAAGAGAATCAGCTTGCATGTTGAAGACTTAATTGAATGGATAAAAATGTGCTATGATACCATGTTTAAATGTGTGACCATCTACTTATGTTTTCGACATGCCATGCCACCTCACATGTGAGCCTGCTTCTTTTCATGGCCAATACACGTGAAAATTCTTTTTGATAATATGAGACAGTGAGATTTGAATCTACGACCTCTGCCTACATTGATATCATGTTTAAGTGTGTGATCTTTTAGATGAGATGGTCATATATTTCAAACAATAACACTTTCTTCTTAGCCATTTTTTTGCTTCCATTAGCAAACCATCAAGGTGTTTCTACTTTTCACATATGTGTATTTTCTATGATCAAGCATGTTGAATAATTGAGTAAATCAAATAGATCTTCGCTTCACTTTTTTGGCAAATAATTATTGGATACCTATACTGGTGAGCACCCCCCACTTCCAACCGAGAGGTTGTGAGTTCGAGTCACCCCAAGAGCAAGGTGGGGAATTCTTGGAGGGAGGGATGCCGAGGTCTATCGGAAACAACCTCTCTACCCTAGGGTAGGGGTAAGGTCTGCGTAAACACTACCCTTCCCAGATCCCACTAGTGGGATTATACTGGTTTGTTGTTGTTGTTGTATACTGGTGGGAGGTAGTAGGTATTTGGTGGAACATTTAAGATGCACGCATGTTGGCCCCGACACCATCGATATGAAACAAAAAAAAGTAGTATCTTAAGGGTGGAAATCAAGTCTTATATTTCTTTTATTATTACAGTTCTGGTAAGTAGAAAAATAGAAGATGAGGAAAGGATAGCAACAAAGAATTATGTCCTTTGGTTTGTTTCCCTTTCATCCTTAACTAATTGTACAGGTTTTGCTCCGAGCATTAAATATGACTCTAAGATGCTATACAAGTTCGGGACTGGGGGTTAAAATGTAAAGCTTCTGTAGTTCTTTTAAAGGAAGCTAATTGAAGTGGCTGTACTTAGGCAAGAGCACAAGATCAAGGGGCTAAGTGACATAAGTTGAAGTGATAAGGAAATAGTATGTTGAGCGAACTTTTTCCCCCTCGGCATTTGTTGTTTTCACTTTATGCTGGTTGCTGGCATTTTATCTGCAGATGTTGTCTTTTGTTTCTTATGCACGTCCAATTGTTAACTTTCATGTTTTTTTTTTTATTTTTTTTTATTTTTTTTTTTATGTAGGATACAGGAATTGGAACCGCAACTTCTTTATATTTACTTTGTTGCATCTTACGCATTGTTAAGATAAAAGATTTGGCAAATATTGTTGCTGTTGCTCTTCTTTGTGATATAGAAACATTCGTCCCAAAGTCTGAAGCTAAACTGAATGGTTTCATGGTTAACCATGGTATGTCACATGAAAATCAAGATTCAGAAAATGGTGGCTTCAGATCGGATTCTGATGGTCAAACTTTACGGGTTTTAATTCCAAACATATCCAGCTCTTTAAATGGTCACCCAGAAGATGATATTCCGCAACCAGATCATGGGAGTTCACATTCTGCGTTATGGTATTTCACATTCCACTTCTTATTCTTAATTATTTGTTGTTTTGTTAAGGAGGTGCTATCAATTTGTTAGATGCATGAGGCGAACCAAAGTTTTCTTGTAACACTCTGCTCTAGATGGAACTATCATGAAAACATATTGCGTTCAAATACTATTGTCTTGGACGAACAGTAATCGCTAACTACAGGGATGTGATGTTTACTGAAGAATAAACTTAAGAAAATTGCTTCAAGAAAAATCTCTAAATTTCTTAGTGACACCTGAGCTTTAAGAACTTTTGGCAAGATGTTGGAACCTCCTATCATCTTTCTCATGGGTAAAACAATAACTTTTTAAAGTTTTTTTACATAAAGAGTTGAAACCTGTCTGATTATCAAATTTTGTGAACTTCTGAGACAGTTGACCTTAACTCATTTATCGTCTTAGTTTTCCATTTCACTTTTTTCTAGGGTTTTCTAAATCATTAAGCTTCCAGTTTTTTCTTGATGAGTAATCATTAAGTAGTAGTTTACATATCTTGATTATAGGTAATCATTAAGTTACCAGTTTACATATCTCGATTACTCCTTATTGTCATGTTTGTCTGTAGGATTTCTTGATCATTTTGTTCTGTATGTTTCTCCTTCTCTGTTCCTCTACTCTTTTTTTCAACAATTATAGGATTCTAGATATTATTGTTTAAAATGATTTTCACTAGCACCACTCAGCATGAGTCAAGTGAAAAATAGATGTAGTCTCTTTCTTTTCTCATTCTTTTCCTGCCTTTGTTTTCCTCTATCTTCTGCTCTTATTTAGATGGTGTAGCAGTACGCAGTGTTTGCTTGTATTCTTTGGCGCTTTCATCGTGTCTTACACCTAAAAGTAGGATATTATAAAGTAAACCATTAAGTGAGCAGCCAAATCACTTCAACTTATTGCTTTTCCTGCTAATTTTCTGTTCTGTAGGGAGGCCTTACTTTCTTATATTACTACTGGTGATGATGTTCAAGTTTCGGGTTCTTTAAGTGTGCTGGCTACACTATTGCAGACTAAAGGTTATATAAGTGGTATGTTATTCTTTTCCTTCAGATGCTTTGTCCCCCCCACTTATAAGAATCTTTATGACTGCAGAGCTGGAAGAATCAATGCTTGATGCTCTTGGAATTCTTCCACAAAGAAAACAACAGAAGAAACTCTTGCTGGTATGTCGAATCTGTAAAGTAACCATTATAAGGAAAAGGTCCTTTTTTGAAATTATGCTGAGATTTGTTATTCAACTAGTTGCTATTCAAGTAGGTCATGTGCTATAGCTTCTGAAATGTGAAAGGTGCAAATATGAAAAGCCTATCCAACAATAGCGTAGGTTAAGATCTAGGTAGCATATGGTGTTAGATAATGATTATTACATATATATGAATGTTCTATTACTCGACTAACAAAATCATCGATAAAACTGATTACCCTTTTTTTTGTTGGAACAATAGGGAGTTTATTACATGTGAAACTAACATTTTCAAATTGTTTTTTAACTGTAGATTGGGTCGAGCTACATTGATTAAGGATAATGTTTAACTAGAACTGCGTTGACATGATTCCACTCTGAACCTTTTCAATTCCTGCTCGTTGATGAGCTTTATGGAATATCCTATTTTTGTTCTTGAGGAAAACCTGTCCCCAAGTTTTAATAGTGGGAGCATTAAAATCTGTGAAGTTTGAACTCAATTATTGTGAATCTTGCACCAAACTTTGGTGTATACTTTATTGAGATAAATAAATATTTTTAATGTCCCCTTTGTCCTATCATAGCTCGTTTCCCGTAATACAGAATAAATTATTGATGCCAGTAACTTTTGACTTCACTATCCTTTTTAATGGTACCGATTAATTGTCATTGTTACTTCTAAATTTACACCATATGCATCTTAAACATTGATAAATTTTATTCATGAAGAAACTTTCTTATCTTTACTAAGAAAGACCAGCAAGTTTAGATCTCTTGATTGGAGTGTAACTGCATGCTGTAAGGAAGAAACTCTGGACAGTCATCGATAAACTCTTGTAGTTTAGTAAGTGCATGAGTTTCAGCTTCCTAAACTTTTTGGGAAAATTGGCGAGAGAACAGAGCTTTAGTCCCATTGAATTTCCACATGTTGTTTGGCCCTGAACAGTCTTCGTCCAGTTATATTGTTGATCCAATATTAGAAATTTAGAATTTAAGTGGATGTGCCTGTATTCCAGTCAGGTGCTTTTTCTAGTTCAGGCCTTTTTCTCCAAGTACTTTTTTCAATTTCAACTTCAAATACTCATCGTTTCAACTTTAACCAAATATTCTCCAAACGGGGCCAATCGTCGTGCATGTCTCTTGGAAATGAGACACCCTTACGGTAAGATATCTCCCTACTATCGATATACTGATTAAATTTGTAGCTTAAGCTTTGCCAGATGAAATCAGAGACATAGCTGCTATCACGTCTTGTTATGGAAACAAATTTCTGATGATTTTCTATCTATGTGCATTGTGGGAGGTAAACTGTCAACAGTGTTTCATGTAAAATTGAGTTCCGCTTTCGTTGATGTGAAACTCTTTCTCGCATTGACCGGACAAAGGTTTCAAATGAGCATCCCATGGTTCAGCCATAGCTTGAACCTCCATAACATCAACTGGAGAATAGGGCATTTACAATGTTCTAGCTGAGACTATTGAGCATCTGTGATGAATAGACGCTTCCACTGGCAGTTATTTCTTGGATTGGCAGTGATCAGGATGAGATCTTCTAATTTAGCATTCCTGAAATCTCTGTTCCTCATATCTATCTAGTATCCATCTTGAGAAGATAGAGCCAATAATCCCCCAAGGGTTTGGTCTAGTGGTAAGAGTGCAATGCATGATGTGTGGGTTAGGGGCACATCACGGGTCGAACCATGCTGCACAAAAGCCTGGTATTTAAGGAGAGAAGGGTAGAGGGGAGGATCCATTGTCTGCTGAGTTTTGAACTGTGCGCCATTGGTCCACGGAGATTGCTCAGTTATAAACCAAAAAGGAGATAGAGCTAACAAGAGTCCTGCTATAATAGCTGGCCTAACTCTTTTGCTTAGGTTCGCCAGTGGCTACATTTTGTATGTGCCTTCTTTAGCTAGTTCATCCTTATTGGTTCCAAGCATATGGCATGTACTTCTTATGGTAAAGAATGTATTGCTTGACGACTTGATTGATTATTTATAAACGTAGTTCTTGCCTTTTTTTTTGTGACTGCAGCAAGCTTTGGTTGGTGAAGGATCTGCTGAAGAGCAACTTTTTTCCTTCGAAAATATGGTAAAGGATGGAATATGTAGTGAAATGGATTGCTACCTCCAAAAGTTGAAGGTACCATTGCAGTACCAGTTCTCTTTCTTATCTTCACTCATTTTTACATTCTTGTGTTTGGTGCTTTCCTGTAAATATAGAGAGTAACAAATGAGATAGTAACCAATAGTGAATTAATTCATCCGACTTGCAGGAAATGAAGATATTTAACAATCTGAATTATGGTCCTTTTTGTTTTCCTATTTAGTAGCAAAATTTAGTACGAGTGGGTCGAACAAAGACCCATATTCGTTAGTCGAATTTATATCAACAAAGCCACTTTATAGTGGTTTTGTCAAATTATGTTCATTGCATCAGAAAGAAAGGGAGACCGAAAGAAAGTATGCTTAGAGGACACTAAAATTGAAGAATGGAGTTCGAAACTGATAAGGCAAATTTGGGGGAATAGATGGGTGGCATGGGCTGAACTTCAAAGCTTCTGGAACTAAAGGGGGGTGGGGGTGGGGGTATTCTTAGCCTATGGGATAGAAGAAATATATTATTGATATTAATTGCAATACAATGAACCTTATTTATAAGTATACATAATATATAACCTACTCCTATTACATACGGGACTAGGACTAATTACATATATATTCACATAGCTATTCTAACACTCCCCCTCAAGCTAGTGCATACAAATCATATGTACCGAGCTTGTTACATATATAACTAATACGAGGACCGATGAGGGACTTGGTGTAAATATCTGCAAGCTGATCATTCGGCTTCACAAATTTTGTAGTAATATCTCCTGAGAGTATCTTTTCTATGACGAAGTGACAGTCAATCTCAGTATGTTTAGTTCTCTCATGGAACACCAAATTCGGTGCAATATGAAGGGCAGCTTGATTATCACATTCAAGTTCTATTTGGTTGATCACAAATTTCAACTCCTTGAGCAACTGTTTGATCCAAACTAACTCCATGTTTCCATAGCCATTGCTCGATATTCTGCTTCTGCACTAGATCAAGCAACGACATTCTGTTTCTTGCTCTTCCATGACACCAAGTTACCTCCTACTAAAATACAATATCCAGACATAGAACGTCTGTCAGAAGGTGATCCTGCCCAATCAGATGTAGCATCTGAGTATCCGACGATCTGCTCATGGACTCTATCCTCAAACAATTGTCCTTTGGTGCTGATTTTATATACCGAAGAATGTAGATAACTGCATCCGAATGACTATCACATGGAGAATCCATAAACTGACTCACAACACTCGCAGGAAAGTAAATGTCAGGCCTAGTCACTGTGAGGTAATTTACTTTACCAACCAGCCCCCTATATCTTGCAGGATCGCTAAGCGGCTCCCCCTGTCCTGGCAGAAGTTTAGAATTCGGATCCATAGGAGTGTCAACAGGTCTACAGCCTGTCATTCTACAAACTTTGCTGGTCTACAGTTAAAGGAGACTTTACGCGAGCTATAAATTATTTCCACAATCTTGAGCATTTTGAGAAAAGCTTAAATTCCTCTTTTATTGCGCTCATCCTAGAGAAGAGCGATGCAAAGGAGCTAAGAGTTTTTAGAACTATTAGTTTGATACGCATTTTCTAGAAAAATTATCTCTAAAGCTCTTGCGGACAGATTGAAAATGGTGCTACCCAAGCTGATCAACACTTCTCAGATGGCTTTCTTAAGTGATAGAAATATCACTGATGCAGCCTTGATAGCTAAAAATGGTTGGACTCAAGAATGAAACTGGAAAATCTGGAATTCCTTGCAAACTGGATATAGAGAAAGCGTCTGATCATGTAAATTGGAGCTTCTTGCTGGATTTATTGAGACAAATGGGCTTCAGTCCCAAATGGGTCAATTGTATTAGCTTTTTTATTTTAGCCATGAAGTTCTCGATACTCATAAATGGTGCACCACATGGTTTCTTTTCTAGCCAAAGCGGTTTGAGACAAGGAGACCATTTATCTCCTTTCCTCTTTATTCTAGTGATGGAGGGACTTAGTAAGATGATACACAACGCTGTTCAGGCAAATTGGATTGCTGGTTTCGCCGCGAACTTCAGGGTCCTGAAGGTTTATAAACCTCTCATATTCTTTACGCTGATGACACTTTGATCTTTTACGAAGCTTAGGAACAACAACTTCTGTTCTTGAGGATGATTCTGACCATTTTGAGGCTGTTTCTGGTCTTCGTATTGATTTTGCAAAAAGCTCCATTTTCCCGTCAACAATGTCGCCAATATTCACAGTTTGGCAGGCATCTTACAGTGCGTTATCGGCTCTCTTCCCACAAAGTATTTGGGGCTTCCTTTGGGGGAAAAACACAAGTCAGTGGCCATTTGGAATGAGGTTTTGGAAAAAGATGGAGAAAAGACTATCAAACTGGAATTGACAGTACTTTTCTTTGGGTGGAAGAGTTACTCTAATCAATAATGTCCTGGATGCTATTCACACTTACACAATGTCATTATTTCTTGCCCCTACTTCAGTCTTAAAGCAAGTGGAGAAATTGAGAAGGGATTTTCTATGGCAAGGAAATAAACAGTCTAAGTGTTTGCTTTGTAGGGATTAACCACATTCAATCTTTAAGGACGTTGTGGTGGCATCATAGTCTTATGGGATAAGAGACAGTGGGTTAATAGGGGAGTGCATCAATACCTCTACACTATATCATGCATGTTGGAAAACACACAAGAGGAATTTAGATGGTGTTTCACTGGGGTGTATGGCCCCCATGCAAATCGAGAAAGAGAAATTCTATGGCATGAACTAGCAGCTATCAGAGGTATATGGGAGGAGTAGTGGGTCATAGGGGGAGATTTTAACATTTGCAGATTTGAGAGTGAAAGATATAATTGTGTCAAAAGGTCTAGGGCGATGAGATCCTTTACCGAAACAATTCAAGACTTAGATATCATTGATCTTCCTCTTCAAGGAGCTCAATGCACATTGTACGTAGGAGAAGATTCCATGCAACCCTTAAGAATTGGTAGGTTCTTAATATTTCCAGAGTGGAATGAAAACTTCAAGGCAATTAAGTAATTAGCTCTTCTAAGGGTTACTACTAATCATAGGCCTTTATTGTTGGAGTGCGGTGATTGGGAAGCCAGTCCCTCTTATTTCAAGTTTGAAAATATATGGCTTCAAATGGAAGGTTTTATGGACAAGGTCAAAGGATGGTGCCAGAGCTACATAATTAGGGGCACTCCTGATTTCATCCTAATGCAAAAACTGAGAAGTTTGAAAAAGGACATCACAGTTTGGAATAATGAGTCCTTTGGCAGAGTGGAAGCACATAGGAACAAACTGCTAGAGGACCTCACATTATTAGAACAAGCAACTAAAACAAGACCTATAACCCAAGCAGAAAAGGAGAAATCCATGCAGTGAAATTAGACCTTAAAAGAATGGCAAAGGCTGAGGAAGTCTCATGGAGACAAAAATCCAGATGTCAAACTCCAAGTTCTTCAAGACCTATGGCTTAAAGAAGGGGATAAGAACACCAAGTTCTTCCACAGAATGGAAAACTCCAAAAGAAGAAATAACAACATACATAAGGTAGTGATAGGAGATGAGCTATGTGAAGACAGGAAGTCATCAAAGCAGAAATTTTGAGTTTCTATCAAGGCCTTTACACTGAGAAAGAACAATGGAGGCCTAAATATAACTGTGCAAATCTGCCAAGTTTATCTCACACAGAGAAGGCATGGTTAGAGAGAGAATTTGAGGCAGACGAGGTGTTGGCTGCAACTCTTGTGCACCAGACAAAAGCCCAGGCCAGGACGGTTCCAAAGGTCATGGGTCTTTATTGAACTGGATTTAATGGGAGCTCTTAATCTTTTCCACCAACACTATTATATGGTCAGGTCCAATAATGCTTTTTTTATTGCTCTATTTCTCAAGAGGAAAAGGTACTATAGAACTCAGAGATTTCAGGCCCATAAGTCTCATTGGAAGTGTCTATAAGATAATAGCTAAACTAGAGGATCAAGACAATTATTAACAAGCTGATTTCAAAAGAGCAAAATGCTTATTTGAAAAATAGACAGATCACAGATGCATCATTGATAGCTAATGAGTTGCTAGATGGGAGGTTGAGAAGTGGTGTTCCCGGTATTCTTTGTAAGCTGGACATATAAAAAGCCTTTGATCAAGTTAATTGGTCATACCTACTTTCTATTCGGGAAGGAACGGGGTTTGGTGACACATGGATAAGATGGATCAAGTACAGGGGTTTGGTGACACATGGATAAGATGGATCAAGTACAACCTTATTACTGTTAAGTATTCCATCTTGGTGAATAGAGTTCCAGTTGGTTTCTTTTCACCGCATAAAGGAATTAGACATGGAGATCCACTTTTTTCCTTTTCTTTTTATCCTTGCGATGGAGGGTTTGAGCAGAATGTTAGACAAGGCAAAACAAATCCAGAAGATTGAAGGGTTCTGGGTGGGCAACAACACAGTTGATTCAGCTGTAGTTGCAGTGTCACTTTTACTCTATGTAGATGATACTTTAATCTTCTGTGGGGCTGAGAAGCTTCAGGTACAGTACCTAAATTTGACTTAACTAATTTTTGAAGCTATCTCAGGACTGCGCATTAATATGCAAAAAAGTATGATTTACTCTGTATTCACAGTGCCCAACTTGGAAAAGTTGGCTAGAATTATGAGCTGGGTAATTGGCTCCTTTCCAACAACATATTTAGGCCTTCCATTGGGAGCTAAATACAAAGCAATAGGGGTTTGGAATGGAGTTCTTGAGAAGGTGAAAAAAAGAATGGCAACATGGCAAATGCAATACCTCTCCATGCCCCATGGGAGGAAGATTGACACTGATCAATAGTGTCTTGGACAGCCTTCCGACATACATCATGTCCTTATTTCCTATGTCTAACAAGATGCAAAGATAACTCAACATAGAAAGGGAACAATGAAGGTCACAAGTTTCATTTGGTGAAATGGTCAAATGTAATTCAATCTAAGGAGCATGGTGGATTGGGTGTTAGAGACTTGGCCAAGCACAATAAGAGTTTGCTTATGAAGTGGTGATGGAGATATGGCCAGGAAGGAACATGTTTATGGAAGGAAGTAGTGAATGCTAAGTACGGGAAGCTGGACCATTGGAGTACCAAATAGAATAGAGCCCCTCATGGTGTTGGTCCTGGAAATTTATTAATAGCGTGAAAGAAGAATTCTTTCAGGATGCATCATTTAAAGTTGGAGATGGCACCTCAGTTAGGTTCTGGAAGGATAGATGGCTAAGACACCTATCCAGCCCAGTACCAGATAGCAGTTGATCCAGACTCTAAAATTGCCCAATGTAGGTCAGGGATCGTATGGGATCCCCTCTTCAGAAGACACATGCAAGAATGGGACCTTGGTGAACTCTTTGATCCTTTCCAGTAGAGCTTTCAAATGAACATACAAGCTCAAGACAATCTAAGGTGGGGCAATCTCAATGGAGGTTGTTATTCAGTGAAGGCAAGATACAACAAATTGTGTGCTAACAATGAAGTAATTGAGCTTTGGCCATGGAAGCTTATATGGAAGACAAAACTCCCTACAAAGGGCATGTGCTTCACCTGGATAGCTCTTAAAGGTGCTATCTTGACTCAAGACAACTTATGTAGAAGGAAATTCCAGTTAGTGAATAGATGTTACATGTGTCTAGATAACTCAGAATCTATAAACCATTTGCTATTGCACTGCAGAGTGGCTGCAGATCTGTGGCACGTGTTCCTTTCGGTTTTTGGCATTAGTTGGACAACCCCCCAAGGCATAAAAGAACCAGTTGAAAGTTGGAACCAATGGAAAGTTGACATAACCATCAAGAAGATCTGGCAGATGATCCCAACAAGTATATTTTGGTGTATTTGGATTCTGGACAAAAAGGAATCACATATGCTTTGATGAGCAACTCCCAACTGCTCCCTGAAAGCAAAGTGCCTTAGGAATCTATATAGCTGGAGCAACCTTTCCTCCGTAAATGAGTTAATTCCATTTCTAGATTTTATTAGCTCTTTGACTTTGGCTTGATTGCCAACCTTAGGTTTTTGGTGCTTTTGGTTAGCTCCCTGACTAGAACTGTATTTTTGTGTGAATGCAGCTAAACAGCCTCTTTTGTAATGTTTTTGGCATCTTCTTGATGCCAGTAATATAACATCTTACTTCATCCAAAAAAAAAAAGTAATGTGCAACTATATTGAGTAGAAGACATCCCCGAATTCCACATTCAATCTTTAAAGGCAAATAATAACACGAGAGACGTGAGCTTTGGGTTTCTAGACTATATATTCTTGTCTTATATAACCAAAATGTTTGCTGTGTGGGGATTAAAATTTCACTAGTATAAAATGGCTATGAGCCCGTTTGGATTAGCTGATTTGAAGTAGCTGATAAGCATTAGGTGCTGAAAAGCACTTTTAAGTGCTGAAACTGATTTAATAAATAAGCAATTATGTGTTTGGATACAAGTGCTGAAATTTATAATAAACTGCTGCAGTATTTGATAAAAAAGTGCAGATAAGCTCTTTTTCTGTTAAAATGACTTAAATAACCTTAGAATTATTTACACATATAAGAGCGTAACTTCTTCAAAATTTTAGATTCCAGATCGATTCAAATACAATATATTCTATTTTTCATTTTATTTTAAATACAATTATGCTTAGATAAGATAACTTTTATGATAAATATAATTTATTTTATGATAAGCATATAATCATAAGTTATAATAATTAATAAATTGACAAAAGTTTCTTAGTAAAAAATAAACTTAAATAAGGCAAAATATTTGAAGAGAAACAAAAATTGTCTTTCATCACCACAACACTTAGAAAGCAGTACACCAAAAATTTAATATGTCCTCATTTATTATATACAGTTCAAAGATTAATACACAATCACATAGATACAAATATGCAAAGGAATAGAGAATTTGCTTATCTTAAATAGTCAATGAGAATTGCAGACTTGAAGAGGTTGGGGGGGGGGGGGGGGTTGAAACAATACTTGAGGCAGTGAGTATCGATGTAAGAGTTTGTTCCAAAAAAAGAATATTTTAAGGATAAAATAATAAAAATCTTGGTCAAACTTAAAGTGCTTATAAGCTAAAAATTCATAAGCTGGGGGTGACCAGCTTATGACTTTTGCTTATTTTTGACTTATAAGCACTTTTAACTTTACCAAACGCGTATATAAGTCGAAAAGTGCTTATAAGCTAGTTTGACCAGCTTATAAGCTTAGCCAAACACCCTCTATGTAGTTGTATGTTGAAACTATGCTTGTTTTATCTGTGACTATAAGTGATGCTTAGATCTCTAGAAGGTCTTCCCTCATGATCTGTTAGCAATCAAAATTTGTGCTCTATTAGCTTCGTAGTATCCGTGTGCAAATATTTTATAAAGCAACAGGAACTATTGACTTAAGCACTGATGTAAAACAAAAAAATATGTTCCACCTGCCATTTGTGATGTACTTTGTTTTTTGTGGTTAGAACTCTCAAACTTTGAGTTGGAATTGATGACATTAACTCCGAATGTAAAACTAAAACTTAAACATATAGAAATTACTTTAAAAATTCTATCATGATCAAGACCAGGGATTCAAATGTTTTATTACAACTGAAGAATTATCATCAAAGTTATGAAGATTTACCACAAATCGACTTATCAAAAAGTAAAAATAAAAAGATTAACCATAAATCATTGTTACATAAATTGGGACTAAATAAGTATGTGTCATGATATCTTATTACTTAGTAATAACATAAGTATATGTCATAATGCCTTTGCTACTTTTTCCCCCTCTTGCTTGTGGAGGACGACATTAGAAAAGAAATAAGGTCTAATGTTTGTCTGGCTTGGTGATGTCATTCATTCTCCCGTGTCTGATTGTATTTAGCTTGATTCTGACAGGAGCAGTATGGATTGTTATGCGTGTGCAAGGAGGTTACAGTGAGCCCTCGCATACATAGACTTCAAGTATGTACTTTTCCATGGACTATCGCGTGTTATCTTTTGTTGCCCATTTTTTCTTCTTTCTTTCCCTTGTACTTTGTAATATATGTTTTAGCAACATTCCACATATCTTATGTTCCATGAATCATTACACCATGGAATAACATGTGGCAACCATAGTTTAAGCATGCAAAGAAGTTAACATTTGCTTTTTCAAGGGTACTGAAAGAAACAGTTAATTGTACATAATTCTGCTCTTGAGGTTGCGCTCTGATATTATTTGCATATGGATTGTTTTCCTCTTTCATTTGCTAGTTCTTTGAGCGCAACTGCAACAGAAGCTGGAGACTATATCTTATATAGCAAAGGGTGCCTTTTCCCTTTCATATACTATGGTGTCTTGTAGTTCATTTGCAGCCACGTAGGAAACCTGCTTAGGTAACTTCTTTTTGATATGTAAATGAAGCTTCTTATTTATAATGGCCAAGAAGGTGCAAAGATGAAGAGGACCAATGCTCCTAAAATAACACGAGGAGTCAATGAAATGCATCAATGTGTCAACATAGTTTACATTGTTCATCTTATACCAAAAGTTTTTGGTTGTGTACAGCCTCAGCTTTTTTTTTGGAACATTTACAGTTACATTCCTTCCACATATTCAGTAGAAAACATGCAGGGATAGTTTTACGAAAGGCCTGCAGTGTCCTTAGCGTTAATCTTCCTCTCGTAGATAGATATTGTTTCTTCCATGTAGCAAATTGCAGTTTTGCTGCCTGCCCAAAAATGGGCTTTATATTTAGCCTAGAAGTCCTAAATTCATCAACTTCGATATTCTGATATGTTGGCTGTAGATTGAATACTTCCACAGTTCCACCCTATTCATAGGAAATATGGAGCTTTGTCAAAATTATTTGCAATCTAAATTAGCTTCTAACACCAATATCACCAGTTTCAGATACATCAGTTGTTGTTTCTCTACCCAAGCAGATTCTGTGTACTGCATATCATATATATATTACCACTGCTTCTTTCCATCTTTAGCGAGCTTGAATTCCGTATTTCCTTTATCCATCCTTTTCTGTTAGTTGCTATGTTGCGCAGACTCTTCAAAATGCCTCCACACCCATGTCGGATCCTCCAAAAATACACTACTTTTGGAGGATCCGACACGCAACCGTTGGCATTTTTGGAGAGTCCGAGCAACATAGGTTAGTTGTATGTACCATTCTACTCAAAGCCTCCGTAACAAGCAGAAGTAAGAAAGTTTCTAGGGGATTGCCCTGTCTTGGTCCTTTGGGTGAAAGAAAATTTTCTGGATCAGAATTCATAAGATTGAGAACCTTTAAGTCCCCCGAAAAGATAGACCTTTAAATGGAAATTCCGTGGTAGTATTCAATTTTATATTATCGATGTTCATGTTTTTGCATTAGCTTAGTTTATTCTTCTGAATGGTCTCGAATTACTAAGGGGTGTGCATTCGAATCGGTTTATCGATAAATCGAATCGATTATTTGTTATCGAAATCAAAATAAAAAAATCGAAACCTTATTGAAACGATAACGATAAGCATATGTACAAATCGATAATCGATAAGGGTCAAAATCGAATTGATAAATCGAATGCACACCCCTAGACTGTAGACACTTGTTAAATGAGTAATTACCTATTTGTGTAGATTAATATAACATACAGAATGTATATATATTCCGCTACTATTTTGAAAGCGGCTATACAATATTATTTTCCCTAATCTATACCCTTTCCTTTACCCTAAGTCCCTTACCCTATTATTTCCTCTACCACATTTAAGGAATGATCATATTTAAAGATCAAGGGAATGAAGTTCAAATTAATGGAAAACAGAATTAGCCGTGATGATGTGTTTTGTTTTGTTTTGTTTTTTTATACCGTTGGAGTGTTGGTGGCATACATTTGATCCCTTACTTTAGTTTTGTTGCATGTGCTTGTTGACACAATTTTTATATTATAAATGGTGTTCGTCTTATTTTAGCTTCTTTTTGTCCATATTAGTTAGGCGCGTTTATAGCGATATACTTTCCGTGGAATCTCGCAAATTTTCTTATTGGTGTAATCGATAACCGAATCGATAAGCCCCCAAAATCGATAAATCGAAATCGAAAAAATCGAAACCTTATTGAAACGATAACGATAAGAATATGTACAAATCGATAATCGATAAGTAATTATCGATAAGGGTCAAAATCGAATCGATAAATCGAATGCACACCCCTAGAATTACTTACGGAGTTTGAGGGGTTGACTAGATTTTTGATCCGTTTATCTGTTTGTCTGCAGAGCTCATAGCTTTCATAATTTTTAAAGTAGACATGTTCATAGGCCTTTCTATTTCCAGTTGTCCAATAACTCAGGCTTCCTTCTGCCTCATCCTAGAATCCATGAATTGATTAGCTCATAGAACTACATCCGTTATTTTGTCTCTCTTAAGAAAAACATGTTTTTTCTCGGAAATCAGCTTACCAATTGCTCTATTAGTCTTTCAGCTAGTATTCTGGCAGTAATGTTGTAGATGCTGAAGTTGTAAAAGGGAGCATTGAAGCTCCCTTCAAAGCTCTCTTTCTGATGAAAATGCCGGAAGGCTCTCCATCACATTATTTTCAAATTGGCCGAAATTTCTAATAAAATGCCATAGAATTGTTTGGGCTTTGTCTCCTGCAGTATTCTTGATTACCAGCTCAACCTCCTCCTCGGAGGAAGGTATCTGCCCTACCCTTGTGACATCATAATTGTTTTTATCTCCAGGCTAGCCTTCACTTTTCAATTCTTGAAATGAACTTTCATAAGATTGCATAATATTCCTTTTTATCTATATTGTATTTTCTGTCTTCCTGCCATTAACTTCTAGTTTCGATATAGTGATACCTTCTATTTATTGGCCATCTTATGGAAGAACTTCTTATTTGTCTTCCTGCTCTATCCACATAAACATTGACCTTTGTCTTCTTGAAATCTCATAAACATTTCCTATTTCTTCCAATTCTGCCAGGATGCTCTGGTTTTCCTCTTCTCCTATCCAGTCCTTTTCTTCTTGCTTGATTCTAGACAATTAAGTTCTCCATGCATTTCGGATTTCCGTGTTTCCATTTTTCCAATCACTTATAATCCAGCATTATCTAAGTTGTATGCTATTTGCAGATAACAGTGTTAATTGATGAAACTAACGAGTGAATCAAACGGTAAAATATGGAGAACACTTGAGAAAGTAACATTTTTAAAACAAGTAAAAGTAAGACAAGAATATGCACCATATGTTTAGCTAGTATGGGAAAACTGAACTCTTTCTTCTTTTGGATAAGTATAAAAAGAATGAAATTGTGGTGAGACTAGATGCTATTGCAGTTCCATCATATAGACAATTAAGATATGGATGCTCAGTTTTCAGGAGAAAAGCATAATAGATGAAAATGTAACTTGTAAAACTAAAGGAGGATGACTGAAATGGAGGAGTGCTATGGAAGCATTGTGCCAGAGGAAAGAAAAGTTTTATTGCTTTTCTAAATATTAAAGAGAAAGTAGACATATCGCGAAGTGGAAGACAACTCCTACGAAGGTTTGCTGCACCAAGAATGTTATAATGGAAGCAAATGTTGGGCTTATAAGGCCAACCATATCCACATGAAGAGTGTTGTAAAATGAGAATGCTAGTATACATGATTGATCACGTAAGACTAGACAAATTAAAATTTGGATCCACATGTGGACAAATTTTCTTTTTCAGTTTTCTGACAAAAAGCAATATTTCAAGTTTTTGTAGCTGCTTTGAAATTTCGGAAGAATTTTTATCAACTTCTTTGGTTCTTTTCAAGGAAGTTGAAAGTTTTCTCCAAACTGTGGAGAAAAAATCTATACTTTTTCCCAAGTACTTCGCTAATAAACAAAGTTTGAAAACTGAAATCACTTTCGGAAAATTTCAAGCTTTTTTTCAAACAAACACCATAGTTTGACACTATGAAATGTTGAGGGGTTGTTATGTTTCCTTCCATAACGAAAATTATCCATTTAATACGTGAAATCCACACTAAAACTTTAGGCAGAATCCAAGTAAAAACTTGGTTTATCCTTTGGAACTAATCATCAATCGTTTAGATATGAAACAAGTTTCCAACAGGCTATGGACCCATCTGTGGGTAATGTAGCTATCTTCTATAAAGATCAAACATGAATTTGCTTATTGTATCATTAACCTTGTTTGTGAACGTTTAACCTGATATCAAAATAAAAGTCTGTACAGTTGATTTATGCTGGATAATTGCTCTGGTTTTGTGATGATTTCTGAACTCATCAGATATTTAAGAATTTCTGTGGTCCAGTTTAAGCTTGTAATCAATATAGCAAGGAAAAAAAAGTCAATATATATGTGATGAAATATAAAGGTGCGACTTAAAATTGTTATAGTGCTTCAGATTCATTAAGTTAGATTTTTACAGGGATAGAATTTTCAGCCTCTGGTTTTGAAGGTTTAAATACAGTTCTATTAAGTAGCTCCCATGTGTTTGGTCTCATGTGATTCGATTGAATTTTTGTTTTAGTTTAAGCTTTAAATAATCTCAAATAAGTGATCTTCTTTTATAGGTACTGGACGCATTGGTCAGTCTATTCTGCAGGTCAAATATCTCTGCAGAAACATTGTGGGATGGTGGTTGGCTTTTGCGCCAGTTGCTTCCATACAGTGAGGCGGATTTTAACGGTCATCATCTTAAATTATTGAAAGTGAGTTGTTTTTGCAAACCACCAGAAGTTTCCTCTTGTTTTTGCAAACGACCCAGAAGTTTCCTCTTGTACTATTTTATTTATTTTATCTATGTTCGTTGAGTATTATATCTAATTAAGTTAGCAGTAGTTGGTTCAAGAAAGGCTTGTGGCATAAAAGATTGCAGAAAGCAAGTCTTTTCAGATTTTGAGGATTCTGCCTCTTTCCACCTAAGAATTATTATCTTGTTGGACTTCAAATTTCCAAAGTATCTTCATATAAGGGTTGCTTCCTTCTTTTCTCTCTTTTCCAAATAATAAAACAAATTCAACTTTGTTTATAGTAGTCACTTCTTGGTTAACCTGTTATAGCTGCTGTTAATGATGTGGTTGTTGTAATTGTGAAGGATTCATTCCACAGTTGTACTAGCTCTATTCTTGACGAATCAAAAGGAACTTGGCCTGATTTGCTAATTGTGGTACTTTGTGAAGAGTGGAGGAACTGCAAAAGAAGTATGTTATGTCCATCTTTATTAAATGGTTCTGTTAATTTCTTTTAGATGAGGACTTAATGTGAAGAGAATGACAACTGCAGCAATTGAAGCTTCTTCTCCTAGGAAAGATCCCAAATCCATGCTTTTGCCATCACACAAGTCCCTTTCTGAAGGTATGATTGTTCCTCTCTTCCCATCTTGATCGTTGGCAATTGGCGTTTTCTGACTTTTCCTGCTATTAATTTTGCTGTACTGTTTTTTCCATGGTAGAACCTGCTTCTGGGGAATCATCTTTTACTGCTGGTGAAAGGTTGTGCGAGATGGTTAAGGTTGTACTCCATCTTAGCACTTGTTTGATAAAAGTGAAACATGAACATGAATCTTGACATTTACTGAATAATTTGGGGCATCCTAATGCTTTGAGATGGAGAGCTATTGTCGATTGGGAACCACCCATTATAAATTCAGCTTTAAGATTGATATCCTGCTAATCTTTGTTTTAATAATCTACAGGTGTTTGTACTACTTCGTCAGCTTCATATTTTTTCAGTAGGAAAAGTGTTGCCCGATCAACCTCCTATACATCCTACAGTTGATGTCATGGAATCATTCCGAGCAAAAAGGGCTGGCATTGACAGTTTGGGTCCAAAACCAAGTGTTGAATTAAGTCTTGGTTAGTTTCTGGTTTTGTTCTTCCTGCTGGATCCTATTCTTCTTATAACAGCATTTCTGAACCTCGCTTAAACAAAAACAAGAATTCGTAACCCCGCACGGCCAAACCACATCTTACTCTTGTGTTACTACTAGACCAAATTGTATGATATAATCTAGACTATGAAGGAACCTATAGTCAACATTCTAAACCTTCTTTGCTCTGCTGTTCTGTAGTTGATGCGGTTCCTTGTAGAATTGCATTTGAGAGGGGGAAAGAACGTCATTTCCACTTTTTAGCCATCTCTGTAGGATCCTCCGGATGGATTATCCTTGCAGATGAATTACCTTTGAGGCCAAGCTATGGTGTGGTTCGTGTTATTGCTCCTCTGGGTGGTTGCAACGTGAGTATACCTTTCTGCTATCCTTTTTCTTGAATAAGTTATATCCTGTAATACATAATTGCTTTTGCGTAGATGCTTTGTTGTAACAAAGATTAGGCTGCTTTAGAAAAGACAGACCCTGCATTTTAAAACTGCCAAAAAGAGAGAAAAACAACCCGTGTTTAGTTCAAGTGGCAAAGGTTCAGGGACTTGTAATTTGGGTCACAGGTTCGAGCCCTGTGTCATCCTAAGTACACCTGGTATTTAAGTGAGGACAGATGGGCTGGGTCATTATCCCCGAGTTTCAAAGGCTGCGGTTGGCCCTAAGGGTTGGCCCCATACACATTTCTCGGTCATAAAAAAAAAAGATAAAAGAAAAGTACCAAAAAGAAAGAAAATCAACCTACTCAAGATTGAATATGATAAATTTACCCTACAATGGGATCCCTAATCCCAGTGATCTTTGAAATGGAATTCATACTAGTTACTTTCCAATCTGTGCTAGACTGGTATATTCTTTGGAGAAAAAGTGGTTTTTGATTAATCCATATTGTCTAATGTTGTCATGTTCGTGTTGGAAAACTACTTAGCTTGGCCTTTCAGAGCAAAAATGCTACCAATATTAGCCAGTTTATAAAATACTATCAATATTAGCAAAATGCTACCAATATTAGCTTAATTGGTTATTTGGATGCTTCTCGCTTTCTTTAGTCTACCTTTTCCCTCTTCCCTCTTTCTATCTCACGTAGTCAATTAGCAGAAATAAAATAATTCTTAAATCCACATAAAATTGTGTGCCTCGATAATATAATGGACGTAAGTGCCAAATTAAAGCTCCTCCAATCTAAGTTGCTCGGCTCTTCACTTTCGGTGCCGCACCCGTGTCGACATGTCATGAGTGTGGTTGTGGGTTTCAGATTCGTACCCAAGCTGGTCAATCGATTTTGGGTACTTTGACCAAAATCGACAGAGAAATTCAAGACAGATACAATAATTTCTGAAATCTAAACAAAAGCTAGGGTGATCATAATTTAGGCATATGTTTTTTTTAATCGTTAAAGATATTTGTTTTAAAAGTTAGCAACTAGAAGGTGCTTTAAAGATATTTGCAGTCAACATCACTGTTGAATGTGCAATGAACTCAAGAAGTCTATCATGGCCTCTATATCATCTGCAATAGCCATGTTGCAACAAAAAAAGCTATAAGGAGATGCATCTGTACTTAAAGATAGTTACAGAGTCAGACTTGCTCTCAAAGATTCGTGCATTCATTTTCTTCCAAATATTCCACCACAATTTAGGTATATTTTTATAACTCTATGTTTAGGTATTTGAATTATATTTAACCAAATCCCCGCTTCCTTATCCATACTTGGATCAGTACCCCCAAATTTTAAAATTTAGATCATAAAGAATCCGACCTCTAAGCGACTTAGCTTCCAATACAACTTTGATATGGATCTAACAACTTGGTCCGGCAACTGGGACCAACAACTAGGGCTATATACGTGTCCTTTCACTTGACTAGTTGTTTCTATAATCAATTGAATATTTTTATATCAAAAATTAATTTCTTAGTAATAAATGTGAGTCATCCTTGTATCGACGCTTTGTTAGCAGCCAAAGAGATATTGCACATGCGACGCTAGCAGTGGAAATATTAGTTTTAAGATAAATGCAAGTATTTGATACAGTTGCTTAGCAATATAATTTGAAGAGAGAAGATGAGTTAAAATTTCATTGGAAGCAATTGAAGCTTGCTTAAGCTTGAATTCCAAAATTCGGGATTCCGAAGTTGGAATTTGTTTCAAGTGGGTGTTGGTGGCATAGATTGGGTACATTTTAAGAAGTTTGAATCTCAATTTTGGGATGATTTGGTGATGTTTTGAGGTGATTTTAATCGAAAATTCGAAGTAGAAGAAGAACATAAACTTGAAAGAAGATGAGATGTGTATCCCCTTGTGTATATCTCGTGTATCTCACATATATATCAAACTAGTGAATTTTTTGCGCTTCGCGCGATCATAAAAGTTGTTAATGTATTTAGAGAACATATTTTTAGAAATTTAGTTAGTAGAGATAAATTTTTTCATGTATATGCGTACAAAAATTAATTATATAAATAGATTAAATTACAAATATAAATAATTCTATTCAAATTAGAGTTTTTTAATGCAAGTTCACGCTTATAGTAAGTGTGACCCAAAATGAAGTAATAAAAAAAGAGTCACATAATATATAAACATCGCTTAAAAAAACAATTACCATGTTAAGTTGAAGATTTTGTACATCAGTTTATATAGTATTACCACTCTTACATAAATTGTTGATAACATCACGATATGAAGGGCAAAAAACTACAACCGTATTTGTCATTCATCCTTGAATCCAAGATCTTATATAAATTCTTCTACCAGAATTAACATCTTCATCTCGTTTCTTATAAAGTTCCCCAAATAATATCTAAATATAAAGATTAAGATGATAAATTTTGAAATTATATCCAATTTTTTAAAGTTAACTAAAGTCTATTCCTTTCAAATTCCACCTTGAAGCATATGAATGGTCTCAATAACTTTGAATTATCATGGTAAGCATGTAGTGTATAACACAATGGCACACCTTATTATGTAATCACCAATGACACTTAGGTTTAGAGAATGAGACTGATCAAGATAAATTTACCATATTCACGACAAACAATTAACCAAAGTAAGAAAAAGTTATCTGACCACATTGAAGCAACGTTATGATGCCAAATAATGCTAGTGAAGTTATAGAACCTAATATACGAGAATATTCGGGGTCGGGGACTTAAGCTCATTAGAAACAAGAATTTCAGTATACATCATACTCCAAAAGTTATAGTAATATTAATGTTCAATTTACATACAATTTTGGAATAACTACCACCATACTTATGAAAATGAATTTTAGTTAGAGAATAAAAGTATAATTACATGATGTTGCAACTTGAAAAATATTTCAAGTAATATATAGATAAACTACCAAATTCATTGTTATGGTTGACGATTGTTCAGTTAGCTTGTAAAAAGCAATAAGTGACCAAAAAAACAAACAATTTGATATCAAGGATAAGGAGTACGCATGTATCACAAACAAATGCACCCCTACTAACATATCCCTACTCAATTAGTAATCCACTGTTATTGTCCCTCTGGGTTTAATTCTCAAGTTCGATTCTTCAGAAATAGAAAGAAAGCCCCCTTCAGTTTTTATTTTTAACAAATAGTGTAATTTTTTTCTAAGCAAATGCACTTCTATTTACATTTGCAGTTTTAGTTTCTCAACGAACAAATATAACCTGCTTTGTCGAGGAAAAAAAAGTTAGAGCCAATATAGCCTATTTTTTTTAATGTTATCTAATAGATCAAAAAAACAAAAAAACATGGGTTATATAAGCTCTTATTTCGTAAATGGTTCAGCCGATTTACATCTTCGTATGACAGTACAACAATAATACAAATTTAACACTAAACGATAAGTACTAATTTGAGGTTAGAGCAACTTGGTCAGGAGTCTAAGGATAGTTGATCACCTAAGCGGCAAGTTGCTTTCGCCAATCCGTCGGAATTTTCTTCATCTAAAGATGAGAATAATAAGATATTATGATGAGGGAAGCAAAGAGTTTTCATCTTCTTTAGTTACTTGGAATTTGTAAAGGCAAGAAAAGATTGTATCTGCAATTGTGACTACTCCTATCTCAAATTGTTTTTCAAATGACTGTTAAGTGACCTTTAGAAGTGACTTTTCTGATTTTAATAGAGTACTTATTAAAAAAAAGGCAAAAATTTAAGAAAAAAGATAAATAGGAATCCTAATCTCTAAGAGGTGCCATGTCAACACTCATTGGCCATCCTTTATATATATATATATATATATATATAGATGTGTATCCCCTATGTATTTCCTGTATATGCATGTATACCTGTGTCTGTATGTGAGATACATATTAGATACATGTGTCGCTGAGAAATTTTTAAACTCAATTTCAACGACGAATTTTGACTCCAAACTAGTCTAAATCACCTCCAATCTTTCTCAAATTTTGTATATTACCTCATCTATGTATTTACAAGAATTCAACCATACCCATTGAAAAAAAAACCTTTTGTGCCTAGGATTGTTGAATATTGCATATCATTGGTAACGAATTTTAACTTCAAACCAGGTCAAATCATCTTCAATCTTCCTCAAAAATTATGTATTGCCTCATCTATGTGTTTTCAACGAATTCAACCATATCTATTGGGAAAAAAAAATTCTTCTTGTCTATTTTTTTTTTTTGGTATGTTGTATATCATTGGTAACTTTTTCTGGCTAGTTTTGGTAGTGGCTTATTGTTGGTAAGTAGTGTCTATTTGTGGCTTATTTCTAAAGTATTCTCTTCGTTGTTTTCCCCCCTTCAGCCCAGAATTGACGAGAAGCACTTGAGATGGTTACACCTTCGAATACGTCCATCATCTTTCCCTTGCATAGATGCAGCAAAGCATACGGCCCATGCGAGAGTTAAGTCAAAAGCTTTGGTCGATGGGAGGTGGACTCTGGCTTTTCGAGATGAGGAATCTTGCAAAGCTGCTTTTTCTATGATTCATGAAGAGTTAAAGTTACTGAGCAATGAGGTTGAGAGAAGAATAAAACCTATGCTTGACATTGAAAGAACTAATAATACTAAAACGGCATAGAAGTCTCCTGAGAGTACGCCTACAAGAATATGACCATATAGAGATTTTGAGATTTTCACCAGTTTGATATTTCATTCTCTCCCCCCCAATATCATTTTACAGCAGGGGATGGAGATAATAATTAAGCTTTACCAGCCTTTTGTATATGTTCAAAAGAAAGCCCTAGGTGTCTGTAAATTAGAGTATGTGATAGAGCCCATTCTTGTATATTAGGTCACCTTTATCATTTCTGATTTGCTAACCTCACTATCATGTATGGTCAATTCTTTAGTTCTTCCAAACCTTTTTTTCCTCACATATGTATAGATGTAACAACTCTGTACTTGTGCAAAATGAAGAAGTTGTGAGCATGCTTTTGTTATCACAAGTTTGCGCAGTTTTTAGAAACAGTATATTACAAATTGGAGTTGCGCACGTTAAGAGCACTTTTTTATACTGTCAGCTAGCAGTATCGTTATTAACGGTGTTTCATTCTGTCATAGGAACTGGTCCTTCTGATATGGATACGTGTGCTATATTTCATGTCCCTTCGTATGTCTATTTTCTTTCTATTGTTTTATGAAGAAGAATTTGGAAAAGGAATTGAGAAAAAAAGATGAAGAACAAGTCCAATGGAAAATATTGCGATGTTTAACCGGACTTGACGTCCTAGTAGACACCAAAATGACACGTGCTGGTAGACGGGGTAACGGCCTTGGTTGTTTACTAGTACGTCAGGCCTTGTTGCGATCAGTGGTGGATAAAATTAATCCGGCAAGCAATTAAGTTTGACACCTAGGGGAACGAAACAATTTTGCATAGGCATACTGGTCGAAATCATTTAGTTACTCTGCATGTCAAAGCCTAATCGCTTGGATTTTTGTGATGCTTTTGTGTTTAGTTGGAGAAGAAGACAGTGGTAATGTTAACAAGATTCATGGTTTGTATAGAGAGATGTCTCCATATATCTTCGCCCTTGACTGAAATTTGTGTTTCAATTTAGAGTAACCTATGGTGCGGACTCTATCCTACATATGGTCTATAATTTAAAATTAGAGTAATTTATAGTGTAGTCTCCACCCCATGTGTCGCCTATAACTCCATTGCAGTTGTAATATGTCAGAGGTTCAAATAAAATCAACTCCAATATAGGTCTATTCTCTATCAATTGTTGCAGTGTCAAAGGAACTTGATTCAATACATTTGGTTGTAAAATTAGTGAATTAAGAAATTAAAACTACTCCCGTGAATTCTAAAGGGGTTGGACGATTCATTGCTTGTTGTTCATAAGTCAAGTCAAAACAAGTATGAACATAAGCTAAAACGTGACATGGATTGTGCTATGGAGATATTCCTTCTCTGAAATTTCCTCCATGATAACTTATTGATAAAATTACATAATAATGCATTTCATAAGTTGACCTTGCATTATTTTAGCCCACTTATAAATTTACAAACGTGTAGCCAAAATATCAATAAGCTTAGATCTGAATTTTATTTCAGTTTTTTTATTCTCTATATCTTCAAGCGTGAAACATTTCCATTCTCTATTTTTCCTCAAGTTTCTACATACCTATCACAACTACGAAAATTCAAAAACAGACGCGAGAAATCTAAAAGCTCATCTTCTTTAATGCTAATCTTGTTAGTTTTTGAATATGATTTTGTCAGAAATTTGGAGTGGGTATTGTTTGAACTTATTATAATTAGTCTAAGTAGAGTGTATACAAAGTATTGAAGTCATTTAGTGGAGATTTGAAATAGTTTTAATCAAGAATTGCAAGTGAAAATCGTACAAAAAGTTCACCAGAGATGCTTATACACTTTTATACAAAGAGGTATATTATATATATATATATATATATATATATATATATATATATATATATATATATATATATAATATACCTCTTTGTATAAAAGTGTATAAGCATCTCTGGCGAACTTTTTGTACAATTTTCACTTGCAACTCTATATATATATATATATATATATATATATATATATA